ATGTTAACAAAATGACTTACACATCAGTATTCCCTTTTCATAAAACAAATTTTTTTTGCTATTTTACATATTGCCAGATTACTGATGCATGCATGTTTGTGTTTAATATTGTATTTTATAGAAACTCTGTAAGAGAAAATAGGCTCAGAAATTTTCAAATCAACTCTTATCCCTTTTTATGTTCAAACTATATTTTTATAAATATAGTTTTAAACGTTTTCTATCAATTTAAACCGGAATTTAAGACAATTGCAATCGTGAAGAAAATATAAAATGTCTAACATAGAAATAATAAAAATATAATAGAGTTATATTCAGGATTGAAAAAAATTAAGGAAAAGAATCTTCAAATTATAAACGGCAAATTATCAAGACCATAAAAAGTCTCATATTTACCTTAAACATTTATAATATGTAAACATTAATTATATAGCACACTTTTACAAAGGAAAAGGAACAATATATAACTGTGTTATAAAATAATTTTTAGCGAACATGAATTTGCATACGATGAAAAGAAAGATTCGTTGCATCGTAAACTAGCAGTAGCGGTGACAGCAGCACATGAAATGGCGCATCAATGGTTTGGTAATGTAGTCAGTCCGTTTTGGTGGTCTTACGTGTGGCTAAACGAAGGCTTAGCGTCATTCTTCGAAGAATATGTCCTCAACGAGGTTGATATAAATATTGTTACAATTGTCCTTATGCATTTGAATAAATTATTATAATATTTATGTGACAGATAGATTAAATAATATATTAAAATACATTGATTCTCTATATTTGACTGGAAAATATAAAAACAGAAAAAAAATTAATTAATGACTTATATTTTATCTGTAATTATTGACAATACATTTTTGGCCTAAAATTATCGTTTTATTCTAATTGAATTAAAAATAGATTTTTTAAATTGCTTGTTTATATTAGTAGTAATAATATTCTATTAATATTTAGTTAATTTTATTGAAACTTTCTAAAGTTCTGTATGCTTCTAGATTTTCAAAGAATGGCGAATAATGGACGTCTTTGTTATCAAGACTCAGCAATCAGCTCTTCATAATGACATTGCTAAGCATATGAAACCTATTACATTCGAAGTCAACAATCGCAAAGAAATTCAGTCACTCTTCTCTTATTCCAGTTACGGCAAAGGTGAGATTAAATAAATGTAAATGAATCCCCAAGAGTTCTCAAACGTATATATAACACAAAGTAAGAAAGAAGGAAGAGTAACAATTAAAAAAATTATATAAATATTTGCTATTTATTTATGTATTAAATTTGTCATAAGAATGTAAAAAAATGTTTATTCTTTAAATTGCAAAAATTAATTTTTTTGCTATCACATCAGTTACGTTTGCGAACTTATGAATGGTGTCTTTATTATAACATATTAGTTATACACGCTTTATGTAATGTTAATTATCGCAGCACCCGCTATACTGCGCATGTTACAGCATACTCTTACCCCTGAGGTATTTCGGAACGGTATTATTAAATATTTACGCAAACAGTAAGTTCTATATATATATATTTATTTATATTATAGAAATATAAATGTATATGAAGCATTTAATGTAATAATAATCTTACGTTTAATTCTTTATTTATAGTAGCATTAACAGTTTAATTTTCTTACTTTTTATGCACAGAAAAAAAGTGTCAAATTAGCACTAATATACATGTATATATGCAAGAATATATAATTATGATATAAGATTATATTGCATTAAACAAAGAAAACTTGCTTAAATAAAGTCATTTATATGGTTCAATCAAGAAAAAGAAAGTTACAATGGGAGAAGATGATATTCTTATAAAAAAATTATATGGAGAAGTAAAAACCATAGTGGTGTAAGTCAAATTTTTTATAATATCGACTCATGTGCATAAATGCAATCTATATAATATATAAATGCATCTATGCACACGAGTCAATATTTTAAAAAATTTGACTTACACCACTATAACTTTAACCCCTCCATATATTCTTGCGTATATACAAGTACGTCAGTGTTAATTTAACACTTCTTTCTTTTCTGTGTAATTTGTAAGAAATTAAACTAATGAAAAATTGTTCAATAATAAAATTATATTATTTAATAAACTACAAATATATGTAATCTGCATTATCTTTCACGTATATTTTGCATTACATAGTCAATTTAGTTCGGCGACTTCCGACGACTTATGGAACGCCTTCCAAGTAGCCCTTGATGAATCAGATGTTCCACACAATGCCTATAAATTAAAAAATGTAATGGATATCTGGTTAAAACAAAGTCATTATCCTGTGGTACACGTGACTCGAAATTACGTTACCGGTAAAATGATACTAACGCAAGAACATTTTCCAAAGACCGAAAATGAGCAGTATATCGATAGCGATAAATGGTGGATACCTGTGACTTTTGCTACTCCGCAAACGAATTCCGACTTCTCCTCTACTCTGCCCACTCATTGGCTAAGACCACAAGATAAAAATATAAGCATTGATGAAATCGATCCAAATGACTGGGTCATAGTCAACGTACAACAAATGGGTAAATATGTTTCACGTATAACAATAATTAACCAACAATTTAATTTAATATAAAAAACATTATTTTATGTACCGCAAAGCAGTGATAATTTATTTCATAATTAACAATCTATGTGTAATATGACGGCAATTTTTCAATACAGCTTGAACATGAGAAAAAAATATTTAAACATGTTTCCTAATAAATCTAGAAAACATTTAATAATGTAGTCTGTAATTTAATTTTTAATTAATTTTTCAACAGGATACTATCGTGTTAATTACGATGATTCAAATTGGCGAAAAATTGCAAACTATCTCAATTCTGACAATTATACAAAAATACACGTGCTTAATCGAGCCCAAATCATTGATGACGCCTATCATCTTGTGATGGCACGTCAACTCGATATAGAGATATTTCTGGACCTCGCGAATTACTTGTCTCGGGAAACAGATTTTATAGCGTTATATCCTATGTTTAATATATTAGACTTTACGGTAGAATTTTACAAATTTCCAGAAACTAATTATTTCAAGGTAAGTAAAATTATAATTAATTATAATAAAACATATATATATATATTTAAAATTTAATTATAGACACAGTAGAAGTATTATCAAATTAATCTTCTTATAATTTCTACACATAGCAATATGTACTGCGTATTTTGGATGAAATTATTAAAAACGTAGGATACGAAGAAGATCCGGCCGAAGATAATCTTACAAAGCTGAAAAGATCCAACACTCTAAAATGGGCATGTAATTTCGGTCACTGCGAGTGCATGAGAATGGCCACCGTTAAATTAGATGAATTTCTTTCAAATCCCGAAACACATAGGTAATTTTATTGTAATCATATATATAGAGTTGTAATATGTGACACAGAGTAATAATAAATTACAGTTAATAATAATAATGTACAGAGTTACAAAATTTTTTTATTGTACATATATATAGAATTCCCTCAGACTTAAAAGAATGGATATATTGTAATGGTATAATGAAAGCCAACGCGTCTACGTGGAACAAATTAATGGATATATATTTCATTAAACAAGACAATGATATACTTGAATACTTGGCTTGTTCTGAAAATCCTGATATTTTGGTTAATTTTATAAATACAAGTGCCTCGAATGACATCATAATACAAAACAATGGTTACTATGTCATTATTCCAAGTATTATTCAAAAACATTCAGACAACGACGCAATATTGGATTATATGTTAGCAAATTTAGATGAAATAACATATAATTATACAAGGTAATAACTAATAATTTTTACCTACTTTTACCTACTAGTTGTAATTTCTTAATTTCTTTTATAGGATGCGCAATAATGAGAAAATATTAATTGGTATTATCTATAGCGTGCATTCTCGTGAACGACTTGACAAGGTAAATTATCTTAGATGTCATATATTTATTTATAATTAAATTTACTTACTTCTATTTTACCATCAACAACTATAAAGACTTAATTTTGATATTATACCATCATTATTAGAATAATAATAAGATAATTA